GGGGGGGGGAATGAGGATGTTAAAAGATTCACTAAAAGCCATACGAGAGCTCAGTTTAGTGTCAGCACGTGCAACAGAGGAAAGAAATTGGCTCAGAGCGAAGGTTTGAGTTACTTTTAAGGCAACTGATCACTTTTAGTTTCACAAAACTAGCATTTAGTCGTTACAACTAAAACTAAAAACGGTTAGTTGTATTCAGGTGTTCTTAATTATTTGTGTGTGTGTGTGCGCGCTCGCAAACTCATAAACACACACACATTACGATCGTAATGTACCCCCCTCCTCGAGGGAATTTTAAAAGTCACAAATAAAACAAAAGAATAAGGAATGTAAGTTATATTCAACAAACAACAAAAAGTGTCACATCATAGAGAGATTATCTTCAAAGTCATTGGATTGGATATTTTAACCGTTCCATATATTATTAAAGATACATCACAGTAATCAAAGGATGGTCTATGCCTTCATGTCAAAGAGATCATGGGCTGAAACATTGTAGATACAGCAGACGATTCACAGATTTTGCCATGGATAAATGATGATATATTGGTACAAATGTTTTGTAATGGTGTACTTTGGATTCAGACTGGTGTCTGCTAGAGAGAGAATTGTACAAGGAACGTGTACTTATTGACTATTACCCTCACACTCACAGCGGTCCTGCATCCTGCAACAATATCTAATGACTGGAAGATTTCATTAAATAAGACTCCTTATCATTGCTTAGTCGTCAGAAAGCTCATAGACAGTCAAGGAAATACATATTGGACTGCTACCACACATCAATCAGATGCAGGACCACCTCAAAGAGTACCAGTAACATTATGAGTGAAATGGTCAACTTAACACGTTGAGTCCCAGGGGGGGGGTGTGCTAATTATGGGTTATTGTGACCATACATGTGGTCACGTGAGACTCAACGTGTTAAGCAAGGAAACTGACTACAACTAAAAACACCCAAAGTATAAGCTTTATATTCTTTACATCTCTTGAAGTTTCTGGCATAAACTACTTTAGCCTATAAGTACAAGTACATAAAAAAATAGTAGACTCAAAAAAAATATTTTTTTTAACAAGTACAAAATCTAATTGACCAACTATCAAGAGGAATAGTAAACAATAACAAAGTCTTTTAGAACTCAGATTCAATTCATTAGACATTATAGGAAGGTATAAACAAATCTCAATATAATCTATAAAAATACATAATTTTTAAGCTAATCACAATAAAGAAACATAGGAACCTGGCTCGCAGGAATAAGAACTGTTTTATTTATATTAAATTTTCAATTGAAATGCCTACGTATAACACAGCTTTCACTTAGCCCAATATCACAAATGTCTTGATTGACATCACAGTAGTCATCGGTTTATATTCTGAGCTCGAAATATATTTACAAAGTCAAATGAAAACCCTAGAATGAGCAATATCAAAGTTTTACAGATCATAATTAAGTTAACTACACAGTTTATTGAAATAATACAGATTACATAGTGTTTGGTATGAAATTTTTTTCCTCCCCTGCTTATAAAATGCACTAATCTTCAAATTTCACTGTAGGATGATTCAATTCTAGCATTCTGTCTAGTCTCAAACAAACCTGAATCTGAAGATGATCTTGCTCGACATTGGATCAAAGTTGCTATGGCCAGTGCTCCTAAAATGGTTGAGCCTCCACACACATATGCCAATACACTTCTATAATTATGACTAGATAGAAAGAAAAAGTGCAAAACAGGTTAATCATTAGGATGGATAGGTTAAGAAAATATTAAAATTATGAAATGTATATGAAACTTACTGAAAATAAGACTGTAAAATAAAAACAGCCATTCCATTACTCAATTTATCAACAAAGCTCATGGCACCATACACAAATGCTCCTGTGTCTGTATCCTGACCAATAAGATCAGCAGTTAAACCTAAACTTGTAACGAGCTGGATTGAACTACTAGCACCTTGAGAACAGAAAAAAGAAATAAAAATATGATATTTTCATAAAGATAAGATCAACACTGTGTGCTAGAGACATACCGAGAAGAACAGCTACTGCATAAACCTCATATTTTGTGTAGATTTGTCCAGCTCCAAGCCATACCCACACACATCCTCCAGCTCCAATTGCACACCCAATTATATAGGCAATCTGAAAATAGATTTGAATTCATTAAGAAAAACAGAGAAATGATACATGTATTCTGTAGTATAGATACATAGTCAATGCAATGCACAATAAAAAAAAATTCTCACCTTTCTTCCTAAATGCTTATTCATTGCTCTAGTTAAAAAAGAAGTGGAAAAGCTGCTGATGAACATAACAAGAGGGACAATGGCTAAACTCACAGCGGGTAGATCTTGTTCATCCAAATAAAGGGGGGTGTATACCTACATAATATTTTAATTTAGGTTACAGTAGTAGATAAGTAAAAACAAGAGTCTAGGAAGTTCTTAGACTCTGTTGGTACTAATAACTCAAAAAACTATCCATGTAGGTAAATGAAAGCATACCTGACTTAGGTTGACAAAAAGTCTAGAGCTCATATAGACAGCTGCTACCTGGTACAACTGGATTGAAAATAAGTGTTCCTTTATGGTTTTCTGCTTGCTATCTGAGTTAATTTTGGTTGTGTCACCATTGGCCCTGACAGTGTGGTCTTCTACAGGTGCTGGTTGGGGTTCTCTTACAACAGCATGGAATAAAATAGAGCATAATACCCCAATCCCCAAACCAGAAGCTAAAACATACTGAAGGAAAAATAAGATATTATATTAGAAACAAACATGTAGAAAAATTAATTGATGAAGCAAACAAATGATAAAGAGCAAATTCGTAATACCTGAAAGTTTCTTTGATCTGAAGGTCCAATTTTACGATCATGATCTTGCGATGATATGTGCAAAACTAGCCAAGCCACAAGATAGATTAAAACATTGGATACCACGGTAAAAGTGTACCTGGAAGAACATGGAAATTCCAATTAATGATGCAACAAACCAGAAGAAGTTACAATAGGAGACAATGCAACGAAGCACTAACCTGCAGGCAATTAATCCGGTACGAATATGTTCATCTGGAGTAAGATCAGGTATCAAAGATAAGTGGGATATCTGTACTGCTGCCCAACCAAATTGAAAAATAATCACAAAAGCAGCATAGTAAACCAGTTGGTACCAGTAATCCCCTGGGGCATCACGGCAACCAGCACAAGGAGAGAAAATAAATGGAAAACTGAGGAGAACACAAAGTGTCCCTGAAACATAATCAGAACATCTTGTTTAATTCAAGTGAAAATTACTTCGAAATATTTACTCCAATATCTACGTACCAACCAAATGCCAAGTTTTCCGCCGACCATATCTGCACATCCAAAAGTTATCTTTTAAATCTGCTTGGACACCAACAAATGGTGTTGACAGTCCATCAGCAACTTGTCCAATTAACATAATCACTCCGGTTACGGGTTCAGGCCAACCAAGGACTTTGTTGAAGTAAATGAGCAAATACGTGAACCACATGGAGGCACAGACATCATTTTGCACATGTCCAAGAGAGTAACAAAAGCGCTGAATGCGAGTTAGTTTCCTTTGCTGAAGCTCCATCCTGGATCAAAGTTAATCTAGAAAAGAGAATAAATCATATCATATCATAAGTAGAAATTGATAGGAAAAGAGTAAAAATAAATTTGGAACCAATAGAACTGAACAAAAATCAACACTAGAAACTGTTCAGGAGTTCATTGCATTATGAAGGGCCCAGACAATGAGTAAGAGAACGGCAGCAGCAAACCAGGCAAACTAACCTAGTGTCTAAGACTGAGAAGCTGAGAGTATCCTTCCCAGCGAAACAACTCACTCGACAGCTAGTCCAGAACTTATTCACCAACGCATGGTTCAGAAATGCACTGTCAAAGATAACTGGCTGGAGATAAGCACTACCCAGAAGTTGGCATATCCATGATTACACCCTCATCTGCACACATTTCTGCTGCATGTTGACACAATGCAACAAACAACAACAACATGTACGAAACTATGTGTGTGATTCATGTGAAGGAGTACAACACAACCGGGGCCCTCTTTGAGGCTAGCGTCCAGGGGTGAATATGAGAAAATTAAAACTACGTTTCACGACTTTGAGGGTTCGGAGAGCTCCCTAAGAACACGTTAACGAGAATTTAGTCCGACTGCTGGACTGCATGTCTATTCCCCCCGCCCCCCTTCCCTCCCCCAAGGTAGGCGGTGTCACCGGGGGGGGGGGGGGGGACTCGCGGAGTCGAACCCCTCACCCCTCTCCCAAACTCTCGGGAGTTGCGTGAAGAAGAAAAGAGAAATTTATTTCTTCACACTTTGGCAGTCAGCGACAGCGTAGAAATGGATCTCGGGAACGTCACGTTGTTTGTCGCCTCCATGGCATAATCGGTAGCGCGCCCGCTCCAAGCGCGGGAGGTCGGAGGTTTGAATCTCCGTCGATCTGAAATTTTTCTCTGGCTACCAAATTTCAAATGGGCTTCAAACCCGTCGTTTCACCAGCTCCCCCTCCTAGAGTTTCGACGGCGTAGTTGTTATCATCCTGGTGTCACTGCGTCGCGCACTGCGTCGAAGGTTCGTCTCACGGCGAAAGCGGGCCGTGGGAGTTCCCTTTACCTGGCACCTTGTTGTGGTGGCGGGTTCTTAAAGTTCTCCATGACCTGTGGTGGGTTAGTTTAACCAATGTACGAATTCAACTGTCTCAGTACGTATCCCCGGGAGTATACGTTCTACCACTGTTGCTGGAAGGGGCTGTTCCCGATGGGAGTCACAAAAAACGACTGCGGAGTAAAAGGCGTATTCCCCCATTTTTTATTTTCTTTTATCTGGATCGTGGAAAAGTGAGGGAGGAGGGGGAATACTTGTGGCCGTGTTAGTTGTAGCTATCCCAGGTCGGAAAATCGCGCAAACTGCATTGAGACAGCATTTTATGTCCTTCCTAAAACGCGCATTATAGGCGCATACACGCATTTTTAAACGCGTTTTAGACAGGACAGAAAATGCAGTTTTCATGCAGTTCTGCTACGTGGTATACAACTGTGTTGCTACAAGCAGCAACACTGCATAGCTTCTTCAACTTCAACTTGAAACACGCCTATATGGTCAGCATTGTGACATTTTTAGTATCACGGGGTCTCTCATCCTTCCTTTACTTTCAGTTTTAAACAATTAATTCAGTGTTGCTAGATTACTACCTACATCCCGTGATATACTTCATTTGTTTACTTAGAGTTCAGTTTAGATCTGTAGGAGGTGGAACACACGACACATTATCGAGCGTCCCGACGTCCAGACCGACCGCAGTGTGCTTGGGCGCCTACGAGGTAGGCAACCCATCGTACCCGTCTGTGGGTTTGTATTCCTACCTCCAAGGCTGTGAGTGTAAGCGGAAGGAAGGAGAAATTGCAACACAGACATATTTATTCATTTCTGCAACATTTATTTAAGGACATGCCATAACTCGTGATGTGTTTAGACATTATGGTAAAAAAGAAGAAATGACATAACTGTGGTAACAAATTGCAGCAACTCCAACACTACAAAGTCCGCATAGAATAGAGAGCAACAAAACAAATAATAATAATGAATGAGTGATAAGCAACACCAAATCACTCATCACTTAAATTCACCTGCTTGTACATCTGTACATATTTACACGATTTTCTATGCTTCCCCTTTAATAGCAGTTGACAAGTCTCAGGTTTCTTAACGGTGCGATCGTCTGTAGCTGATCGTGTAGGTGTACGTTTCGTATATATTTTGAAGTTCGATATAAGCCCATTCTTTCTGAGTTGAAACAACTCCCGCGTCCAAAATCAATTTCATAATTAAGAGACACACCCATTCCCATTACCCTATCCTGATTTATGTTTCCTTCACCGTCAGAGAAGAGAAATATCTTCACAGTTCGGAGTGAGATTTCAGCTTTAGTGGGAACTGATCAGAGATCCCATCAACATTGATATCCTATTTTGATGTCACCACTAGCAAGCTCAGAGGCATAAGGGTAACAAGAGCATGATGCAGTTTCAGCTAGCATCGCTTTTCAGCAGGTGGATCTAAAGCGGTTCTTTGTCCTAGCTTCGAATACCGGCGTCCTTCACAACATAACACAATTTAAACCATAATTTCGAACAACAAAAAACAAACAAATAAACAAAGGAGCCTTTACAAACATCACCAACCACACTGCAGAGGCTACGCACTCCTAACTAATCAAATTTGGGACGAACCCATATATACATTCTAACAAATAAACATCTTTACATTTTACAATCAAGGCATCACAGAAATTTTCCTTTCAGAGAAACAAAATGTCATCGCCGCAATAATTGGTCAAAGTTATGATGATGACACGTGAAATCAACTCTTAAAAACAAATATTAATAACATTTCAGCAATTTTTAAAAAGGTACAAACTACTCTTTAGAGCTGAATCACTATATGTTGTCTCAATTGAAAGTATTTTGCTAAAAATTACAAATCACTCAGAATATCTCTATTCCAATTTTAAATTACACACATTGTTCATTTGGATAATAAATTAACACTTTCGCGCCTCTTCCTCTGCTGATATTCGAAGAGTTCACCTTGCCTCGGACCCAGACCACGGCAGCCTGAAAACAGAGGAAACAGGTAAATAGGGCATCGTAACAGATAATAATAACTCTGAAAAGTTAAGAGTAATTATCAAACATGGAGGTGGTAAACACATACTTGTTACGGACTGGGGGCTTCGTGATGGCCCAGCGAATCGTCGCTCTCGAGGTATGTGACATAGGAGTCGGTCGAGTCCGGGTGCGCCATGTCCGCCGAGAGGGGGCCGTGGGGGCCGGGGCCCCCCAGGGGGTGAGGGCCTGGAGGGGGACCCGCTCCGCCGGGCACGGGGGCGTGGCCGAGCGGGGGTCCGTGGATAGGCGGCCCGCCGTGCACGTCGTACCCGTGCATCTGGAACAGACAAAGAATACCCCGGTTAAAGTTGAGAGCTAACATCACACGTTTTTTTACAAATGATTTTTGCATGTGTCTGTATTGTGTCATAAAAAATAATTGCCTTAGCAGAGGCAATTTTAAGGCAACCTTTGTTATTGAATTACAAATGCACACTAAAATTATAGGAACTTTTAGATTTATATCTTATGAAAACAGAAAAGTTTTAATAAGTGAGAAATAACTGAGGAAAGAAGATCTCTAATTCTATTTTTTTTCAAACCAAGACAATGTTTCTTTGACTTTACAGTATATTTTGGCGGTTGCCAGGTTGCCCGCCCTGGAACGGCGCCCGGTACTTTGCACATGGCTCCCTGCACTCTGCGTTTAGGCGCTCGCTCGCTTGGCACATGGCTCTCGGCTTTTAGGGTGCCACGGCACGGTGCTACCGGCCAGAGGGAGACAGAGACAGCGAGAGCGGGCGGAGCAGGGCGGCCGCGCCGGTGGGTGCGTACGTGTGTGCGTGCGAGGGAGAGAGAGAGAGAGAGAGAGAGAAATGCAAGGTGGTGTGATGGCGTGCTGTGGGTGGGGATGGGCGTGGGGGGGACGGGTGCCATAAAGATAAGAGAGTCTTCCCTCCAGGGCCTCCGGCGAGAGAGAGGGAGAGAGAATCTCGCGTTGCCTCTGGCGCTCTTTTACGGCTGGTTATTTCTTCCCTCTCCGCCTCACTTGTTCTCCCCGTCCCGCTCTTCTCTCTCCCTTTCCCCTACCTTTTTTGTGTTTTGTATCTACGGCCCGTAGATGCCTTTGGCGCACAAATTCTTAAAGAAAGCCCCAAACCTCGGACGCCAGTAAGTAAGCTCCTTTTATCTCGAAAAACATTTTCCCTTCTTAGCAGTCATCAACTTATACGTTCCGTTCGGTTCCGTTCGTCTCATCGTTGCTGCCCGTCTGTCTGTTATTCCGTGTGTCTCTCACCTTCGGATTTACGGTGTGTTGCAGCAACAAACTACAATGTATTATTTTGTGTGAGGAGAATCAGTGATTAGAATTGTGTCCGCTGCTCATTGAATAAGTTTTATTTATTGGTCGTCGAATACTTTGAAATCGTGGTGCAAGATTTGGCCGCGTCGGACATAAAGAAGACAGACGGACGCAGACAGGTGAGACGGTCCGAGGCGCCAACCTTATCAGTTGCTTCCATAAAATAACAACGCGATGCTGCGGCGGGCGAACGTACGAGCGGCGCGACCGGCCGGGAGGGGACGGGAGAGGGGTAGGGGGAGAAGGGCATGAGCAGGGAGAGAGGGACAGAGAGAGAGAGAGAGAGAGGGGAAGGGGGAGGGGGGTGTTCAAAAGCACGTACAAAAAGACAATAAATGAAACATCGTGTCTATATAAAATGTCCATATCCACCATGTAAAATTAGTATCTAGTGCAGAACTGTATTGTTGTTCCAACCAGTCGGAAGGACAGGACCAAAAAACTATCGATTTCTGCTCGATGTGAACAGAAATTTGAGGAAAGGGGTCATCAGACCTTTATTGTCTTAACGCAGCACATGGCGGCACACCCGAGGGCGTTACAGCGCTCCCACGCACGCAGGACCTCAGCATGGCGCCACGACGCCTCTCATCCGCGGGTTCCCATTCCCCCCACCGCCACCGCCGTTTACAGTCGAGGTAAATAAGGCAGAGCTGGTTAAACTCGGACAGAAATTAGACAGCGTCAAATTTAGGAGAGGATAGGGACTGGTCTTGGCCGGGGTCCAGCTCCTCCAGCCACTCACTCCGGCCACGGCTCCGGCCCCGGCGAGCGCGCGGCTCCAGGGCCCGGGGACGCCGGCCCACAGTCGGGCGCTCGCCGGGGCCGGCCGGGCCGGCCGGGACAGCAATGGCTGTGCTGCTCCAGTGATAAGAGAGTCTGGCCCGACTCGTCTGGAGGCTCCAGACTGGGGCCCTGGAGCCGCCTGGAGCCGCCTGGAGACCGAACGGGGTGGGGCGGGGCGGCGGCGGGGCGGCGGCGGCGGCGGCTCCAGTACTACTTGTTGGGTACCGAACGTGTCACGGGTATACACAATAAAAAGACATTCCCAACTTTTTTTCCACGTCTCTCTCCTCTTTCTGTCTCTCTCGCTCTCTCCCCTTCGCCCGCGCGTCGCCGTCGGAGTATTCAGTATAGGTGGGGGACCTGCTGGCGCCGACTGGCTGGCCGCCGGTCATAAGGTGGTCAATTTCTGCGTATGGTGACGCGAAAGCGAGGAGGAGGGGTGGTGTCTTTGGCAGACTGAGGCAGTCCCACAGTTCCATGGCCACGAAGCAAGCAAAAAGCAGGCGAACGTCGAACTGAAATAATAATGTACATCCTGCCCTTCTCGGTCGGCGGAATTTCAGTCAGGAACAACAGACGTCAGCAGTCGCAAATTGAATTGACTTAATAATCGAACAATCGACAACGATTTTAACTTTCACAGTACTGACCCGCAGCCTTTATAGTAAGACAATGTGCACAGCCCATCCAGAAAGCCCGTCCGTCATTCGTTGCGAAGTTCAGCCAACGCAAGCTCTCGTACCGCCTGCTAGGTAGGCAACATCTTGTCTGCGACGCGTGCGTGTACTGCGGGGTGGCCTATCCCGAGTCTCGCAGGCGCCGAGCTTCCGTAGTATGACGAATGCATCGGAATAATAAAATAAAATAGAACGGACGTACTTTCTGGACGGTCTCTTATCCTGCAGGGCCCTCGCGCCGAACATGTCATGAGCAGAGAGGTCGTCAGAGCGGCCCATGGCAGCAGCCTGCGCCGCACATGTCATGTGTCCGTCTTGGCGTGTGCCATAAGGAACACAGCCAGAGCTACCCCGTCTGCACTAGAGATAGGGGGAGGAACAGAAGGAGCTAGAGGCAGCCCCCCGACAATTAACCGAAACAGAATACGATAATGCATCATGTGGGTGTGCACGTTTCAGCGGCACGGAGATGTGCGTGCGTGTGTGTCTGTGTGTGTGTG